TTCATTCTTTCTTTCATTCTTTCTTTCTTTCTTTCTTTCTTTCTTTCTTTCTTTCTTTCTGACAAATATTACATGTGCGAAACACAAACCTATTAGCATAAATAGATAAACAAAGAATCAAAGAATACACTTCACTCTGCCACACTGGTTGATGGATATACTTTATATAGAATCAATGCTGGAAATATTGATTTAGGTGTCATAGACACTTAAACTGGAAAAGGCTAGAATAAACAAGTTATTTCACTTCTACCCATCAGACGCTAGACGTTTATATTATATACGATAAAATGAACATGCGATGGTTTCTCCATGGAATATCCCACTCGTAACTGGTATTTTCTTGATACATAAAAATCGCCTGGAGGCTCGGTGTTTGAACAATGGAAACACAAGTGCCTCGTGGAATCATTCAGTGGTGTGTCACGAGAAACAATTGTGTGATCATTCTATCCTGTATAATAAAAGAATGTTAGTTCCTAATGGAAAAGAAAAAGTGAAATAACAAAGAATATAGAATCAGCGGCTTTCCTTCCTTGTATATGACTAGGATGTACCAACAGAAAATGCATATCATTAGAACGAACCGCTTGAATCAGGCAAAAATGTTCGAACAAAATTTTGATTTTTTTTGTCTCGACAAAGTAGGCTTTTTATAATATCTTTGCAAGACCCGACCAGCAAAATCACTCGCATCTTTTTTAAGAAACATTGCAGTTTTTTATTAGACTACTATCAGTATAAACGGTTATTATTGTGAAGGCGATAACAATACTGAGAAAATGTTGTCCCAGCCCGATTTGAATTTTAGTATTGTGCATGCATTTCACTAACTAAAACAAAAACAAAGGCAAAGAAAGAAAAAAACCCGAGTGTATATTTATTAGCGAGTCGTCGAGACCCAGATGGCTTGGCAATGAAGCTTTCAGGAGCCAGTTGCATTAAAAGAGGAAGCGAAGGGCAAATACTTTAATGTAGATATAATACCTCTCAGTTTCATGATATTATACTATGAACACTTCAAAATTCAAAATAGAATTAGAATTATGTGAGACCTTTTTTTTCAGATAACGCACTTGTTTATGATCTTTGGAAGTAACTCATTCCGCAGTGTGAAACTTGGGTAAGGATAAAAATGGCTTCCCCAGGGAGAGGGGGAGGAAGAGAGTTTTCATCTCTAACGCGGTAATGTGAACGTGGTGTTAGAAATTTCAATTCAAAAGTTACAATTCTATTGTTAATTATTGATTTCGGCGCTTTTTTGAATGATATTAAGCTATTAATAGTATAGTTAAAACACTTAGAAATAAAAGGTGCTTCTGTTAAAGGTTCGCCAGCACGGCTCCAGATAACGGCTTGAAGTTAGACCCACATGGTTGTTATGGTTACGTCCGACTAAAGCAGATCAGGGCAAATTTATCGACGAAGCATTGCGTTATTCAAACTATTAACTGCACTTTGTAAAATTTTATCACACTCTAAAAAACCACAAAAAGATTAGGATCAAAAATGCCAACGTTTTGATAAGAAATGGGTGTTTTTCTATTCATACGACGTAATAGCTTGTATTTATTAAGCAAGATGGGATTTGAATCGGTGTGAGAGACATATGATTGTTTTATTTCAGTACTCTGCGTTTCCTTAGCCTCATTCCGGCAGTTTGAAAACAATAACTGGATTAGTTCTTATCGGAGCTTATCGCATCGTATAAACAACTGGCTTTCAATTCGATCAACTGGAGAAAAATCCACGCAGATATGAACGCATAGTGAAAATTTGTTAAAGACGCTGCGGCAGAATAAAAGCAGAAAACTAGGCTGAGAAATTTTTAATGTAGTACTCTAATAAGTTTAAAGAAGTATATGATAAATAAGCATTTGAGTATTTTTCAAACTTGACTATCAAGTAGTATTTACAAGTGTGGTTAGAAAACGCAAACTTACTTGATGCACAGGCTGAATTGCGTAGCACTAGAAGCCAAGTGGAAGCTGTGAGTATTAATACCAGACCGCGTCTCTTCATACCTCCCGCAGTAGCAGAACAAAAAAAGAACTTATAAGAGACCAAAAAGAAGTCTACATGAGAGAGCTAAAAGAGTTGGTATAAATGCCCACTTTGGTAGCGCATTGCCTTAAGACTTTCCTGTTATACGGCTATTGTATTTTGTAGTGGATGAAATTAGATCAAACGGATTTGATTGGCTCCTTGCGGGATGTGAATGAGTGATTACCGTATTGGTCACAGCCGTTCCGTAGCGGGGCTGTTATTTAGCAGTTGGATTAGTAATTGTAGTAAGATTTCTCAACGGAGAGTAAAACCATTTCAAAGTTTTGATATTAACTACCATTTTTCAAGAGAATTTTAAAATGACTTTAATTGTTGTGCGAGTTTTTTATTCTTTTTTTTCAGGAAATATTATGAGATAAAAAGATAAAGATCGTAAGCCTAATTTCATTTTTTCCCTGTATTCCCTTTTTCTTTTAGTTTCAGTAAGCAGAATATTTATAATCAACGAGAAGCCATAGACAACCGATGTTTATTAAATGCTACAACATTTGACTTACTACTGATAATTGATGCGAATACCCTAAACTTGAGTCTTCAAAGTTCTGTGTAAACATTGGCAACCAGTAAATTTAAGAGATATTCACTCGTTATTTGTCATAGAACTAACTAGTTATTATAAGTGTCAGGAGTAGTTTCTGCCGTGGGTTGAGCTACCGTTTTTAGTGTTTTTAGAACAGTTCTTAATATGATAATGTAGACCTGTTCTTCCGCCAACCAGGCGCCAACTCAAGCAGTCCTAATAGGTAAATTGTCAGAAAACAAGAATCTAAAATGCTTAACCGAGTAAAGCACTTTCAGACAAGAAAGATGAGTAAAAAGCGATAGAGGACTTGGAGTTTGATTTGGTCAAGTTTCAATATGTTTTCCGGGTGTTAGTGTTTAAACAGGAAAGCTATTCCACAAATGTCAAGATTCGATAAATGTTCAATGAATCTCCGGTCGAATTCGATAAATGTTCAATGGATCTCCGGTCGAACTCTCAAAGATCTTGAGCAGGCGAAAAAATCTCTCCCAATGATAACTCGAATTCGTTGCCCTTTTCCCGTCAAACGAAAGGAAATTTTAAGACTTTATTTTTATTTTTATTTTTTTCTTGTTTTTGTTTTTTCCCCACTAATTCTCTCAAGTTATTAATTTATTCCTTTATAGATTTTATTAATCTTTTTCCTTCAATACACCGTCATCCCAGGTATTATTAATTGCTTCGTAGATACAGTGTTCAAACTTATACATTAACTATGAACTCTTTCTTAGACAGCTTTGGTTATGAAGCAATCCGTTTTTGGACAGCAAACGCGTTGTTTTTAGCAAAGAGTGTCACTTGCCCGAGTAATTTAAGGCAAGCGCGCCAATTTGGCGCCGCGTACGGCGACTACCGCTATCGGTAAAGGCGGGAAAAGGCCTCTTGTTTGCTTAAATAGAAAATTCGGCTTTTAGTTACTTTTGAGCTTGATTACAAATAAGAGTGAGAACTCATGAAAAATGCCTTAAGCACCGCTCTATTTAATCTACACAGGCGTTTAGTCATGACATTAATACGAAACCCTTGGCTCCTGAATGACTGATTATGGAATTAATGATACCAATCTTAAATATGAGATAAAGCCAAGGCTTCAATGATTTTATCTATGGTATTAAAAATCTTGTAAAAAAAAAGCTATGGTTTTTTTAATGTTTTTTATTTTACTGTTTTCATCTTCATAAGAAATGAAGGTGCAAAATGAAGCAAGCGGCCATTAAAAATACAATAGTACTCTTTATTTATTAGAGAGCCTTTTTAAAACCTTTTTATAAGTTGAAAACTATAGGGAAAAGGAATGAAATATCAAAATAGAATGCAGGAAGGAATAAAAATAACAGTGAATTTGTTTGGAATAGCGCACCCTTAAGGCAGCATGAAAACCCTTCGTAAATTAGTGCACTCTAAACCAAATAAAATATCATTCGGAATTTTTCGTCGGCTAAAGCAGGAATAGGGAATGAACGAAGATAAAGATTAAACATCTAGTACTTATACTTATATTTTACAACCACCAGTCCCCATGCGGGGCTCTTTCGTGAGGTTCCCTCCACACGCACTACCACTACATTCTATATTTACRACATACAACACTCAACTCACAAGTTGATTTTTACGGAGGGAGAAAAACCGGAAAACCAGGAGAAAACCCTCATGGCAGGGGTGAGAACGACACAAAACAAACTCAACTCGCATATGATCTAGCCTGAGTTGGGGCTCGAACCCGGACCGCTCTCGCCTCATGTCTGGATCGGAGAGTTTGAAACATTATCACAATTAACTCACCAGAAACAGATGGCTTAAGATTTACTTTGCTGGCTCCGAGATGCTTGTGTAGAACTGGTTTTTGAAGGGTCGTGTTTTGGATACCTTATCGCTTCAAGTATATTAGGATACTTTAATCAATAACGCTACTTATCATTTCCTCTTTTCTTATCAACCTGTCCACCGTCGAGCGAGTAAATTTATTTTATAAACTGCTTTCAAGAGGGATGAAGTTTCGATGGTTTTGTCATATACTTCAATACACATGAAACTCAACGCCGCCTGCTGCAGGTTTTAGTTCCAGTTTTCGCTCTCATTTCTCTCACGTACGTTTTTTTTTTTTTTTTTTTGTGAGAGGTTTTTCAAAATCTAGATTCTATTGATTCTCTAGATAATCCTAAGTCAGTCCATTTCCTTGGTGGGCGTGGGATTAGCTTTTTTGGAAAAATTAAGCGGGAAAATATAATAAACTGATAAAAAATGAAAGCTCTATTGGAGGAACAAATAGAATGAGGTGTTAACTGTTAACTTTCTATTTTCAATCTATCTAGCGTTGTAGAGCGCATGCAGTAAAACCATGAAATAAAAACAAAGTTGACATTGACAAATAGTAGCTATATTTAGTGACTAAGGCGGATAAATATCCTATGCTGGATAAATTTGAATCCGCAACTTTCACACCGAAACTGAAAAAAAAGTTTTCCGTCCACACATGTAAACGGATAAAATGTTTCGCGTCCGCACTAGTCTGATCAGAGGCGGCAAAAACGCTTCATTGAACATCTGAGCATGTGTATCGAAGCTGAAATTGAGCCTGCGGTGAATTTTTAGTCTTCCCGCCATGTTCCCATGACAATCATGACGTTACCGTATTCGAAAAATTTCGGATACGAAATGTTCTCCGTCCACACTAATACGGCTAGCCGGCGTTTTCAAATTGTTCCACTCTGGAGATCGTATTCGAAAAAATTCGTTTTGGTTAAGAATTGTTCCGGATTCGCCCGGACTAGTGTGGACGGTAGGCATAACCGAATAAATAAAAATTCGGATTCAAATTTATCCGGCATAGTGTGGACGGGGCCTAATATATAGTTGCTATCACTCAACCAGAACATTCATTACGATACGCGAAAGACACAAGTAATTGACTTTAGCTACGAACTGATCATCTCGCCACTTATTTTATCAGAAAGGATTTATATGTGCACATGCGTAACAGTCTGGCCGGTGTTTTTCCTATTTAGTTTAGTTTTATTGAATGAGCCACTGCACTGTTAACATCCCCTTTAAGTCTATTTCACGGCGCTTTCATTCATCAATCAGAGCATGCCGAGATGCAATGAAAAATTAAAGGTTGACGTCAAAACCCAACTGATGTATAGACTGAATATTCAATCCACAAATGGTTTCTAAATCATAACAAAGAAATTCTTATTTTGACACGCAGTGCATTTCGCGCCGAGATCTACTGGTCTGTATTTGTTTCACTTTAATTCCTTTATTTCCACCCATATTTTATCTCGTTCGGGCTCTCATTGGAGACTTGCTTTAAGAGAAAACTCGTTGAACTCTTGAGCAGGTATGATTTTTAGAGCGCTTTTTTGTTTTTGCGACTTTAGACGAATGGGCGCTTTTGTTTGTTTTGTTTTGTTTTTTGTTTTTGTCGTCAATCAACTTATAGTTTCCCTTGCTAAAAGAATTATGACGACCGGTCACAAGTAAATGTGCAGTGTGTCTCTCTTGATTTCTCCGGGCTCTCCGGTATTCTTCCCTCCGCAAGACCTAACTAAGCCAAATTTCAATTCGATATGTGAGCTAGCCCTAGTGCCTTGACGTGAAGCAGCCGGGTTGCTCCAGGGTTCGATAACATCTGAGCACTATTTTTGACGGTCAGTTGTAGAAGCATGAGTGTTCTTACATTTATAGCGATTCGGTTATAGAAAGGGCATCCTGTTTTGAGAGCATTGAATTTATTTTCTTCGCATACTTTTCATGACAGCATATGGTATGTCTGTGAAACGGCACGGCACGGCACGGCACTGCACGGTGCGCGGCACGGTCACGTTATAAAAAATCACGTAATAATAACAATGATAATAATAATTTATTTATATAGCGCTTATTCCTTAGAGTCCATAAGCGCTTTACAAATTTCAAAAAATATCTACACTAGCTAAAATATACACATTCAAAATAAAGAAATAATAATAATGTTAATACAAGAAAACTCTGAAACCAGTGCTAAAAAGTTATTAAAATTACGAAATACAAATGAAAGCGTAGTGAGTTCAACCCGCACAGCGCGCTCGAGATAAGTGTTTGGTAAGAAAATGCTTGGGAACACCGTCACGGTCACGGCACGTCCGCATAGACCCCCTGCATTGAATCCCTACTTGGAGGTCAAGACAATGAAAGATATTAAAAAACGATTTCATCCTCAAGAGAAGGAAATTCTTTCGTTTTGATCCCAAGATTGGTAATGAGTGCAAGGGGTCTATTAACCTTTCCAAGGTTGAGAAAAAACTGGGTTTAAGTTGGGATTGCAGTGCATTTTTGAGGCGGTTTTAAAGGGACATATTTCCAAGATGGCGGCCATTTCGTCCCCTAAAACAGCTCTAAATTACACTGCAATACCAACTCGACCCAGTTTTCGCTCGAGCTCAGAATGTCTAATATTGCGAGTTTTCTACATAAGGAGTTTGCGCATTTTATGATATATGGTTTAATGGGCTAGATCACAAGTGCGCACCAACTCTCATGCTTTCTATCACATTCGATTATTTCATTACCTCCCACGCAAGCGGTAATGAGATTAGTTTTTATTACAGACAGAACGGAATTTTTTTTAAAGTTAATTTTATGGAGCAAAAGTTGATCTGTCGTGACTGCAGAAGCTGCAGGGTGAAGTAACATCAAATATAAACAATGTGAACAAAACATCAAACACTTATAGCAGCGTAAAGCTTCAAATTGCGGTATGGCATAGGTTGTAATCAAATTGAACTTTTCTTTAGTCGCGATACTTAGCTTCGAGCATGCTGTCTAGCAATCGTTCCTGCGTTTCTTCAAACTTTTTTTTTTTTCAATGGAGGGGAGAGGGGGTTACTTTTCATTCTGGCCTTCTTCGCGGTTCTCATCTGACAGGGTGTAATGAATGCGGCGCTCCTCGTGCTTGCTTTTGCTGTGTGTCCTGCTTGCAGACGTACCGCTGTGTCTATTACCGCTGTGTCTATTACGTCTGTCCAATTCTCAGTTTGTTCTAAATTGTCTGTCTATCCAAGGTGTTTCACAGTGTACTCTCGGAAATACGACCGTGTTCGTTTGTGATCACTGCCCCCTCAAGACAATTATCCTCTTGAATATGTCCACCTTTCATAATCAATCTGGAAATACGCTTCTCCTCTGGCTTCTCGCATGGAGCACCATTATCACAACGAGATCTTCGTTTTCCAAGTTTGTCTTCACTCGACCCGTTTTGTTTGTTCCAGATCTTAGCCCCTCGAATCGCCCCTCGATCCTCTGCTGCTGTCAGACTTACTATATTCTCTGCCTGGTATTCATGGTCTTCGGGGGGATGGAAGTCACAATTGCAACGATCTGTAGGATAGTTTGTAATTACATCATCCCTGACGTTATACCCTGGGTCACTTGTTTGACTTCTTGATCCCTCTTCTATCGATATGATTGGTAAAGGATACGAATTTAGAGCTAGACGATTGTTGACATTCTCACGAGAATCGGAAAAATCCGCGGCCGACGTGCTGTCACGCTGTAAGCACGCGCAACAAGGCCACGCTGAAAGCTTCTTCAACAAAGATGGGCGAAAGGTTTTGGTTTCCAGACTCAAATCACTTGGAAATTCCCTGGAGCTAACTTCTCTGAAACTTAAAGAATGAGGTCTAGTTGACGGTTGCTCAGCTTCTAGCTTCTCCTTTGAATCTTTACATGCGCATTCGATTTCGTGGTCAGCGGAAATCAACGCATAAAATACGGCATCCTTGTTGAGCTTTGATTTGAAAAAGACGATATACAGTTTTGGAAAGAATATGAATACCAAAAAGATCAACTGTGATGCTATAATCGCTAAACAGTTGATGGCGACATCGTGTAGACCAACTGGTGTTCCATAGAGAACTGCGGTTAAGATTACCCATATCGTGTAAAATGCAATCATACCATACAATATGTACTTCGCCTCGGAATAATTGACCAGACGCTTTCTGACGCTATAAGACAAGTATGTGCAAGCTATGCTTATGACAAGTATATGGAAAGCAGACAAGGCGTACCAGGCTGAAGTAGTGTTGTCGCACACGACTATGCTTCTACCAGCGCTCTCCTCTCTAATCTGTGCACTTGGTGGCTTGTTTATGATCCAAAGTATACAAATGAAGAGTTCTACGATGGTCAGAAATAAAGAAAAGATGAATTGACTTTGACTGTTAATCCGTACCAACCATCTTGATGCAAGTTTCTTTCGTTTGGAAGTCAACTGCTTGGCTTTTGCCAGAACTAATGACATGGTGAACGTCAAACTGGTGCCAAAGAGAACCGACTGTATCTTGCACATGTTGTCAGATGGTAACCCTATGTATGCAAATGGAACCAGCACCCCGAAGCTAATGCTCCACAAGAGACGAAAATTTGTATCGCTTCCAAGACCACTTACTATGGGCGTTGTCTTGTATATAATGAGTGTGACGTATACTGTCAGGGACAGCACAAAGGATATTATAGAAACAGCGATGATTGCATCCGCTTCTTTTGTACCCCAGCCAAAGAAATCATGCATGATCTTTCTGCATGAAGTGTTATTTTCATTGGAAGTGAAGCCACTTTGGCACGCAGTACATTTGAGGCCATTTTTGCTTATGGAACCTACAGGACACTTAGCACATTTCCAGCAGCATCTTGATCCTACATGGATTCTATAGCTGCCGGCGTTGCATGGGAAACTGCACTTTCCGAATGGTTGCGTGATGCTTTTGTTTGGCCACTGTATTTGGTTCTTTTCGATGTCAAGGGTATTACCAGAGTACATTCCAATGGTTTGGAATTTCGCTCCTTGAAAACTTATCTGGAGATTTTCAATTCTGTAAGAGCTAACAGCATCGCCGTTTGAATCGAGATAAACTTTTCGATTTGACAAACTCTGAAATACGAAGGGCCCCAGAAACATTTCTGATAATACTTTGGTTTTAGTTAGTTCGTTAAGGCACTTTTCTTTGCCACGAGTATCATTTACATGAATAAATTCTTTACAGATCCTCTTGATCACGTGACACACGGCCATAATAGCATCTATCACGTGATTGACGTGTGAAAACGACAGCATGTGACGTATCCCATTCATTTTCTCCGTGCCCTTGCACATCTTTTTATTAGTCTCCATGAAGGAGCAGTCAAAGACCTTTTCCCACAGATTCCTAAGCCAAGGATTTCTCGTGTTTTGAGCAGGATTTAAGTTTTCAAAGTATTTCGCAAACTCAGCTACTGAATCCAGTTTATTCGCGATGACCAACATTCCTTGCGTAACGCTCGCATGCTCCGACATGACACTGGAAGAACCGGCCAAAACTTCGCTTGCCACCCAAACCCTTCCTGTCATTTTCGCAGTATCTGCTCTAATGATAATGTTATTTGTATCAAGAGGTGAAGTAAATAACAGAATGATTTTTAATTTCTCTTTCGACTTGATTCTGGCAATAATAGACTGCATTTCTTTTGCAGAGGAATTGTTTGGTAAAGTTTCTTCTATTCCGATGCAAATTCCCTTGGAGTGTGCGAGGTTTTTAAATTTAATTGACAGAGATCTCCAATGGGGATCATTAGAAGTCACCAAAGCAACGTACGTCCATCCGAAGTGAGCTACGACTTTTGACATGACTTTTGGTCGATGTGATCCAGGAACAACTGTTCTTGAGAAAGAAGGAAACCTTGACTTGTCACTCAAAATCCCCGAAGTCGATGCATAGCCGATCTGAGGAATTTCAAAAACGCTCAAAACTTTGTTAACAGCCACAGAAATTTCATTTCGTCCAGCACCAATCACAGATACGAGTTTGCCATCACAGGATTGTCGGCCATTGCTTCCACATCGCTCCAAATCGCCATCGGTAATCGAGTATTTCTTCTCTGACAGAAAATCTAAAGTTCGTTTCAAAGAAACTGCTACGAGATTGCAAGTGTCTCGGATATCGTAACCCAGAGTTAAATTCCAAGGTATTAAAGATTCTCTATTTACCCTATCAGTCGTGTAAATCATGGCCTCGATAAGCGCAATGCTTTCCATGTCTAAATCTCCGCATTTTCCTCCTAGTCGTGATGAATGAACGGGAAAAAGTCCACCAAGAATGACGTCTGCTGGTTGATAAACAGATACTTCTTCGTCAATAATAGTTGTATTAATCAAGGAGTTAACTGGCGAGACGTACACGAAAATGGCATTTAGAATGATCAAATGAAGCGTGATCATTATTCGTTGATGAAGTTCTTCAGCGACCACTACTGTAGTAAAGACAAAATCACCTGCGAAAAGAATCAATTCTGTGCATAGGCATGATGCTAATGATTCTAGTTTAGTGGTGGAAACTGTTAATCTCGCCTATGCAAATTATACATCATTAATATTCCACATAAAAAGTACCCGGCTTGAAATTCAAAAACGTTTGTCACTAGGGCGAGAAAAGCGAAAGAAGTTAATGAGTTTAATTATTTTTTGCAACATTTTAAAAGCGAGAAAAGCGTCCGCTAAACGTGAGTGGCGTAAGCACCGAAATGCACAAATACTGCTTATAAAACCAATTTTTTTCTGTTTGATTAAGACTTATTTGACTTACCATAGTTTGATTGGGTCCAAAAGCCCGGTTTTTAGTCTTTGCCTTCCCTTCAGCCGGTAATGACACCCCTTCGAATCCCACCACTTTCATGAAATAATTAGTCTTATTTATCAGTCGACGCGTTTTCATTTATGGCGAAAGATGATTGGTGTACAAGCAGCTCGCATTCAAACGTTTTTGTAAACGTTCGTGAATGCCGTGTTATGATTAATCTATCCGTTTCTGCTGTGTTAGAACTCAATAAAAGGAGATTCTTAGTAAGTAGAATCGATGAACACGTCTAATCAAACTTACCGAAAGCTCCTATTCTGAACTTTAAAAATATATCGAAAAATAAATTTTCATCAATTAATGGGAAACCAAACGAAAAATCCGTCGTTTGGCAGACTTAATCAAAAGCCTAGGTTTTCGGTCTGCTTTAACTCTTTCCGTTTGTTCATCATCAATAATACAAAACGTTTTTATTATAATCATAAATTATTGAACATTTTCAAAAACGCCTTCATTTGATGTTTCCAAGATTATGATTACTTTGATGCACCGAGGAGGCATTCTCAAACCTCGTTGGGAAAAACCAATAGAATGAATTAGTTAATCTCTTGTCTCGTCTTTTTTTAATGCCAAAATTTCCGGGATTTTTCCTTTGGCTACTTTTATTCTAAATATAATGATTTAAACATCTATAAATTCCATGTTATTTTTCCTTAGTTTTATGTTTCTCACCGTGTTTTTGCCTTGGGCTATCTTGCTAAGATCTCCTAAGGCAAAACTTCGTTAATATACCAACCCTTGTAATTAAGATTAGAAAACTCTAGATTAAAACCTTATATTCAAAACCCTAGAGAATACTCATTACTAGAGTAGAGAATGAGCGTGAAGGTCCGGCAGGTGAATTTTTGTTTTGTTTTGTTTTTTTGAGAGTGTGTACGTTGTGGAACACACAGAATTATCAAGTTATGAATACCTATGTATAATTTTAAACTAAGGATCCCCTGGCAAATACTCATAATATAGATCTGAGCGTGGTGGCCCGGCAGGTGAATAAATGAGTGGTTGGGTAATCAAGTTCAAAGCATAACGAGAGAGTGGTCTTGTACGTTGTTGAACACGCAGAATTACCAACTACAGCTATGAATGCTTAAGTATAATCTTAAACTCAAGATCCCTTGGCAAATACTCATAATTTAGATCTGAGCGTGGTGGCCCGGCAGGTGAATAAATGAGTGGTTGGGTAATCAAGTTCAGAGCATAACGAGAGAGTGGTCTTGTTTATGAATACTTAAGTATAATCTTAAACTAAAGATCCCCTGGTAAATACTCATAATAGATCTGAGTGTGGTGGCTCGCAAGGTTAAGATGTTAAGTATTCAAGTTCAGTGGTGTTGTACGTTGTTGATAACCCACGGCTATGAATACAGAATATAGTTGTAGAATAAAGATTTCCTGGCAAATACCCATAATCTTTATCTGAGCGTGTTTTTACGCATGTGATAGGTCGGCTGTGAAAGGACCACGACCACGACTTTGACCACGACCATCGACCACGGCTATCGACTATCGACCACGACTATCGACCACGACCGCGACAATCGACCACGACTACGACAATCGACTATATTTTCAATCTACTATATTTTCACTGCGAAGGTGACACATAACAGTCGACACTAAAAAGCTGTGAATATTACGATTGAGTCGGACTTGTGATCTTTATCACAAAACCAGGAAGGTGGGCCGCAGATAAGACAATTGTTTTGACCTCGAACCTAATTTAGATCAATACAGATTGAGTGTGATATGGGTCCTGGCGAGGAGTGAGTGGTGCGGTTTTGACAGTCCTAATATTAGCCTCGAGAACAGAACGTGTTATTGTCCTGAGTTAACTAGAATTTTTGCCCAGGCTAGCAGGCGCCTAGCATAGTTGGATAGACAGAATATGTTAATTAAAATACACATATCACACGAACATGATATATAGCAGGAAGCTGTGTGTATGGGGTCTCTATGGCTAATGAAAAAATGACACTCGGATGCTGTATCTAAACATAGCTTTTTAAATGAATAAAAATGAATAAAATGATTTACTGTTTATTACATTTTCCTAAAAATATTCCATATTGTTGCGTAAGTATTAAGTTATATAATATAAGCAAAGCTTCTTTTACTTAGCGATCATTTTAATTGAGGCGATCTACTTTTTAAGACCGGATTTTCTGAGGGTGTCACTGGCACATTTTCCCCCGTCAATTCACGATATAATATGCTCTCTTACACGAGTGCACTTGCGCATGCACCTCTGCTCGCAGGGTAGCAGTTAGAGTTTCTGCCTTTCCAAATCTTTCAATTTTTAGCTTCGAGTGAACGGCAAGGGATAAAAATAGACAAACCTGACATTTTGGTGAAGTATTGTTCTATTAGTATTAACACAGACAGGTTCAGTCTGAATACTGACACGAATTCCTAATTAAAGCTTCTTGGTTCTTCTTTCTGATCTTCAGTCGCACATTTTCAGATCCAGCAACTCGGTTCCATCGGCGATGGTTGCCACCAACAACGGGATTTGAAATACGAAGCTTTCAAAAAGTGTCAGTTAATTAGATTTTGTGTCGTTTATCGATAACAGGTTTCAAAACGGATGCTAGTCCAACAGTTAAGCTACTAGTGAGCTTTTACGCACGTGCTGAGTACAAAACAGTATCATATAGCAGAACTTGGTCGTAATTACGAACCTTCCAGGAAACAGCTCTTCAGACAAGCCCGAGAGAATCTGCCGAGAATATTCAAAGTCTTTTTTTGTTTTAATAAGAACTATTGACCTTCCTTTAGTTAGAGCTGTTTTGTTTTGGCTCAACGACTTTTGGCGAGTGAATAATTTATAAGGAATAATCAATCAAGTCAATCCATCAAGTTGAACAGTATGCTAATCGAAAAGGACGCTATAACAAGGAAAATGGCCAATATTGTGAAATTAAGAACAAAGCAATCCTTTATTTTTGGAATGCTACTGCTGTTGCTCATTCTGATAAAGACTGCCAAACCAGAAAGGTTGGATAAATACCAAGAAGGAGACTTGATTCTAGGAGGAATGTTCCCGATTCACTCAAAATCATGCAGTTGTGTTACAAGTTCAGACGAAGATTGTCATCAGATATATCCAAAAGGATTGTTTCTGGCTGAGGCAATGGTATATGCTGTAATGCTCGTTAACCAAAGAGGTATTCTACCCTACGATATGTCGCTAGGATATAATATTCGAGATACGTGCAATACTCTCGATATGGCTGTTAAAAACGCTCTGGTTTTTGTCACTCAAAGGAAGAGGAAATCTATGGAGACCATCGATGATTTTCAAAAGGCTTTGGGTAAACATTCTGATCCATTTTCCCTCAATGGGGATATTTCGATGGGAAATAATCACTCAGCTATTATTGCTGTAGTAGGGGCAGGAAATAGTGAACTTTCCTTAGCCGTGAACAATATATTAACTTTGTTTAACATCCCTCAAGTAGGATATGCTTCTAGTTCAGCTGTTTTTAGTGACAAGACCCGTTATAAAACATTTCTTCGAGTTCTACCACCAGACAACCTTCAAGCCAAAGCAATTGCTCAATTATTTGCTCATTTTAAATGGAACTACGTGTCTCTCGTGTCATCTAATGACCACTATGCTGGTCCTTTGCGCGAATCGTTTCGCCAGGAGATCCAACGACTTGGAATATGTCTAGCAAATGACATCATATTTTCGTATTTACCCTCGAAGAACATAATTGAAAAGGCGCTGATGAGCATAAAACAGACAAACAAAGCACGTGTAGTTCTGGTGTTTGCGTCTGAGCGCAGCGCTAAAGTTATACTTCAAGCTGCAGAATCGCTAAATCTGACAGGTCGTATTTGGGTTGCAAGCGATTCGTGGTCTAATGCTGTTAGCCTTTTTAATCAATACTTTTCAGTTTTAAAAGGAAGTTTGGGAATTATGTTTGCCGTTACTCCCGTACCGGAATTCTTGGTTCATCTAAAGAATAGACTAAATAAGTCTGCAGAAGATATACATCAGGATCCGTGGTTGAGAAGTCTCAACGAGGCTGTCCAAAATGAAAAGTTAACATCTCTTATAAATAATTATGTTAATGCCAACCCGGAATCAAAACAAAATCTTTCAAACGTCATGAAAATCCAAAGTGTGTTTGCTAGAGTCGATTACGTCATTAACAGCGTGTTTATCTTGGCCAACGTGATCAGAGACTTTTGCTTTCGGTTAAACGTCAGTTCTGGTGCTACTAAAGCGGAAAAAAGAGCCTTTTGTCTTAAAAACCTTAACCCACAGTCGTTGCTACCGCTGTTGTTTAACAGAACTCTCACAGGCTTTAATAAAAACCTGACGGTAGATCAACATGGCGACCCTCCTGGGAGCTATGATTTCTTTAATCTTCAGCAGAGCGAAGAGGGAGAAGAACATGAACAAAAAAATCTTCGAATTGGCAGTTACGAATCATTGTCCAAAGTGCTGAAACTAAACGACTCCGTCATTGACTTGGGCCAGGGAAAGGGCACAGTACTTATATCAAGATGTAGCGACACCTGTCTTCCTGGGGCCTACGTTGTTAAACGTAACTCCAAGCACACTGCTTGTTGTTGGGATTGCAAAACATGTCCGCCAGGTCACATTAGCAATGTCACCATGGCCACGGAGTGTATGGAGTGTAATATCGCCGAACACTTGCCTAACGAGAACAGAACTCAATGTGTTTATGTTCCTCTAAAATACCTGACTCGAGCACACCCTTGGAGTATCTTCATTAGTATTTGCAGTTTGCTTTGCTTCTTCTTGGCTGTCTTTTTTGTTTGGGTGTTCATTCGTCACAGACGCAGTCCTGTCGTTCGAGCGAGCTGCTTCGAGATCAGCCTGGTGTTGCTTCTGAGCATAGCAGTCGGTTTTCTCCTCCCTCTCGTCATCATGAGGAAACCGAGCCACCTTCAGTGTCGAGCTTCAGCGTTTCTATTTGCTGTAGTATTTGCGGTAATACTGTCGCTAACGTTAGCCAAGATCAACAGGACAGTTCTCATACTGAACAACCGCATGGGAGGTGGTGGCTTCCATCGAAAATTCCTGCTTTCCAGGCGAGCGCATTTCATGAGTGTTCTAATCTTTTCAGCCATACAAGTATCTATTTGCATCACATGGTTTTTCCTGAACCCTCCCAAACCAAAAGTCTCTACCATTCCTTTTCCGGACTTTGTCCGCTTTCTTCACTGCACCAGTCATAAAAATCCTTGGTTCTTAGTTTCCAGTGGATTCTTGATTCTTCTGAGTATAATCTGCACTGCCATTGCCTTTAAATCCAGAAACTTTCCAGAAAATTACAACCATGCCAGGTTTATATCACTTGCAATGTTCACATTCAATGTTGTTTGGATCACGTTTATGGGTGCGTATTATGGGAACCCACAGCCAGGGATCCATCAAGTGATAATCCATTGCTGTGCTATTATATTCTCAAACCTTTGCTTGATGATGCTCATCTACGGGCCCAAGGTCTACGTGATCTTTTTTAGACCCGAGTTGAATAATGCAAGGACTTTTCGTGAGATGAACTTACAGCATTTACTCGGAGGACCGGAGAGGGGAAGGAATTTCTCATTCGCAGTTGGTACTCCTGGCCATGGAAATGTATATTTGATGGAACAGTGCGATCCAAATGAGAAAGCTGTACAAACGGTGCACATTCTTACTTACAACGCTCAAACACAAACAGACTTCAAGGAAAGGGTGCCCATACGCAGACATAAAAGCAGTCTTGTTAACAGGATTTTCGGGCGAGGAGGTTGGAGAAAGACTGGAGATATCATCATGGTGTCCTCGTCACCTCAACACAAACGGGTCTGGAGTGAAAGTGATGCAATTAAGACTCGCAAGCATAAAAGTCTCTCACATTGCCAAAGTTCACCTGTTATTTCAAATTCGCATTGCCATACAGACAATCAAGCAAAGCCCTTGCTACGCGACTTTGACAGTCACAGCTCTGATGCTTTTGGACTACACAGCATAGAAGAGGCGAAAGAAAGTCCTGCCACGTCTAGAAGCAGGTTAAGAAATGCAGGGAATCAAGACATAGGAGATTTTGAAAGCACCACCACTAACCAGTACTCATGCTTCAGCGAAGAAGACGCAGATAATAACGACGGCGATGATGAAGATGAAAGCACAGTAAATGATGTGAGATATGACGATGTCTTTACCACAACTAACTCTAAATCCGTATAGCCAACGACATTGATGATGAAGATGAAAGTACGGTAAATGATGTGAGATATGACGATGTCTTTACCACAACTAACTCTAAATCCGTATAGCCAACGACGGTGATGATGAAGATGAAAGCACGGTAAATGATGTGAGATATGACGATGTCTTTACCACAACTAACTCTAAATCCGTATAGCCAATTTGTTGTAAATCATACTAAAATATTCTGCAAGGTGGGCCGTGAATATGAAATACGGGAGAGAAGAAGCCTACGTGTCACGGTAATGCTCACGAGTGAGTATTCTTGCCCGAAAACAATCTTAGATTCTTGTCATATTTGCAGAACCATGAGGTGTTTTAATCAATCCAGTGCTGCTCCTCTCCTGATTGGTTCTGGTAGAGGAAGGGGAAGACTGGGGAGGAGGAAACAAGAAGAGGCAACACCTGTCAGCCAGCATTGCCCTCTTTTTAAGATTTGCGCGTTAGTACACTGACGAAGAAGTTTCTGTGATCACCGCGGGTCAAGTAGATGTACGTGCAATGCAATGCATACTACGTCAAAGCTGGACGACTACAATAGTTTACTTCTTCTGTTTTGTCCCGTAAGCCAGACCCACAATGCACTGCAATGCCAACTCGACCCAGTTTTTTCCTCAACCTAAAAATGGCTAATATGATAGTATCATGACAGAATTACAGCCTGTTTAAAAGCAAAGGCCTCTATTTAAAATGACTAAAACTGACATCAATAGACTCTATCCCGAATTCGCTTGACTGGTCACGAAACAGTGGTTTCAGGTCGAGGTTGAACTTGATGAATAAAAGAATCAAGTCCTGTCTCAACTTCAAACCATTGTTTCGTGGTCAGTCAAGCGAATTCGGAATCGGCCTATATCAGATTATATATAAATTGCATAAATGCTTGTTCTTATTTAAACTTGAACATGAACGTGAATCGAATAAAAGAACTATGGACAGTTTCTGTAAAATCGCACCAGATTACTTTCAAAGGCAGTTTTGTTTCATTTTGAAGTTTACTTGGATGCTCTGTCAAGGAAAAATCCACTTTGGCGTCATGTTTTTTCATTTCAGACCACATGTCATTTCCTTGATAATAAGATTTTTTGTTGGAGTCTTGTCCATATTCATGAGTCTTTTCATGCACAAGCGTCAAACAAAGAATTTATACTCTAGGGATTGACATGCCCAAGTGGATTTGGACTAAAGATATTCCGTATTGATTTTTTTTTTAAATAGTACTGATGAGATCGAGGTTTTCTTTGAAATGCTGTCTTTTGCTAAAAATATATATTAGGAGGTACCTTAAACCCGCATGCTCTCACAGGTCTTACTTTCGGGTATTGTATCTAAAAATATCCTAGACATTTGTAATTTAATACGAAAATATCCCCATACATTTTCTTTTATATATAACTGGTGCTGCATCAAACGTGATTCCTCTCGAGTTTCAAATATGAACATTTCAAAACTGAAATGTGAAATATTTAATTTGATGACGTCACACTTTGTTACTCCTAAGACACCGAGTGAGGTTATTACTATATTAGCTTGCGTAGCGGCGCTCTAGGCGATTGGGGAGAAAGAGGAGGAATCTCCTCACTACCTCCCTCCCCCAATATCCTAGAGCGCTTCTACGCAGGCTATTACTATATTGGTGCATCCTCCTCATTGCTTGAACGTGACACCTAGCTTGACCTTACTGATATTCTCTCTTCCAATGAAGATATAGCAAGTAACGCATCACCCGCTCAAGCCTTCCAAGAGCCGTTCAGACCACAGCTATCACTGAATCGATTTCTGGCCTCGATTCTTGGTTTATAATTAGATTTAGCGTTTCACGTGTGCAATGAAAATTCTTTGTTCGGAGTTAAGGACACTAAACTATAGGCTCCGTCTGCCTCGCATGAAACCCACTTTGTATAAAGTGAATGTTAAAGGTACCGCTGGCCCGTGGCACCATCCCCACTTCCAGTCTAGTGGTCCATAAATGCTTGTGGCCTGACTGTAAAAATGCTTTGCAGTTCTAAGCACCAGCAATACATAGTCCATCAAGTCCTCTACATGTCAGTCAATTTTTCCAAAGGCCAATCAGCTTGCCCTTCTCGAGGTGATGGATCAACTGAAACAAATATTTTTCTTCCTTAAAAGGGTAGAAGTTTCGATGGGAATGGCATTATCTAAAACGCTTCCTTGCAAAAATCAAACTTGTTACTTTTATCATTGTCTTCAATGTCAATCATTGTCATATGTAATGACTTCGTTAGATGTTCATATTTCCTCTAAAAATAAATAGAAGAGAATGTGTCACAGACTCTCGCAAATGTTTGTTTTGGCATCTTTTGTACGTGAATGTGTTTTGGTATCAGTACAGCAAGCTCTTGCCCGGAAATGATGTCAGCAATCGATATCTGTTAGCTTTGGAATTCAGTAATATGAACTAGCAATTGTATTTCTGTCAACATCTGTTTCATGGGAAGAACAGACTCTTCATTTCATCACGTCTTAGTGCTTACGTAGTTTTGTACTTAAGCCACTGAAAAAGCTTATTGGGCTGACCTTTGCCTTGAATGTTACGTGAGTACATCAGTCCTAGTGGTGCATGATTCAAGCCAGTTATACTTCTCGCGTACTGCCAAAAAAAAACGAGAATGAAAGCAGAAGAAACTTTCTATCCGCCTAAATCAAGTTACAAAGAAAAACAGACGAAGATCCATCGTGTTATTTTTTACAGCGTCCATCATCTGCTGGTCTGTGTGGCTTCTCTTCCCACTGTATTCTTCGTGTACCATCTTTACGGCCTTCCAGAACATGAAACTTGGTGAGTATCTAGAATTCAAAATATAATCTTTGTTTCTCTTAATAGTGTGTTCTCGTAGAGAAAAATCAATAGACTTGACCCATAGTATGTTAAGTATGTATATATATCCTTGACATGCATGTATCTCTTATTCCAGTTATCCTCCAGACTGATAAGAAACTATAAGGCATACTCTCTGAGAGAACTAAAGCTATCGCTACAATTCTCAAGGCAATGATATGATATCTCATTTGTATAATCGTCAAGCTTTTCTTAATCTTAAAGAAGTACAGTCGTGCCAATACCTTTCGAACGACGTGTACCGGTCGGGGAGATAAAAAAAGCAAGATATTTGGAGCCGATGCGGACTAATGTAATTATCATTATCCATGTGATAGTGTTATAAAAGTGGCTTTGGACCCTATTTTAATAGAAAATCGTCTTCCAGCAGCCTATCCACAACTGTAAAGGATGTAAAAATGTTAAGCCATTCATCAGCTGTCAGAAGGGTTAATTCCATTGATAGTTTGTTTATTTAAGCATTTACAACCAACCCTCTAATTACTTATAAATTAGATAGTCCCTTATATCATTAATGGTACTTTGACATTGAGAATTTTTTGATGTTTATTATCGCTAACCAATGAACTAATAACCGTATACAATCTACTGAGGAACGCTTTGATTTTGGTTAGAAGATGGAAATGTTTCAGCACCCCTTCACAGAATTCTTTCAGTATTACTTCAAGGTCAAGATTCGTTCTTATTGATAAACAACTTGTGACGGAACGTGTCATTGTAGTTGTGTCCATTCGAATGCTTTCCTTTCCCTTTCACCGAAAATGAAATAACGGCAAAATGACACGTGAGTTGATGATATTTTGCTTAATGATATTATCAAAATGTTTCTGATCTGGAAGTAAAGACCCACGCTATTTATAGAGGGGAGCTACTATTTGATAACGTTTTTTTATCGTCATTATTCGCGTCTTCCGTTCTCTATAATTGATATTTATTAAACATACGCAACGAAAGAGTGGGTGATGATTATAGACCTCGACTTTTTTGTCCTACAATTTGTAAAATACTGCGTTTAGAAATACGACAATGAAGTATATATATATATATATGTAGGAAACCGCTGACATCTGTACTACATGTCTCGATTTTCGGTCAAAATCTGACTATATTAACGCTAATGAACTTGTCAGTGTTCGCGGTCACGATCAGTTTGAACTTGATACAATAATTGTCATGTAAATATCAACTCCAACCTTGTACTGAACTACAGTAGTGTATGATTATAGTGATTCAAACGAATACGGGAAACTTCTTTTTTGCTGAAATTAAAAGTCACGAGTTATCATTGTCCATTTGGGAGTTACCGGCTTTTAATTATAACTATCTAAACCACAAGAAAACCTTTTCAGTTCGTGTTTCGCTGATGATTAAAAACATTCACTTCTCTACTGACCTTTTATGGGGGACTAAAACAGCGGTGTTCTAAATAATCGTTGAGTCGTATTTTATTTTTGTCTTTTATTTTTCAAGGAAATGGATGTCGTCATCTGATGGTTCCACCGCTTCGTCACCTGTTTTTATTGCTAGTGATTATGAAGTTTCGACAGTAAAGGGAATTGCCGTAAATAATTCAATAAATAATACTCAAAGTATGTACCGCTGCCAGTTAATACTCGTAGTTTTTAGAATTAAGCGACCGTTATTACACGATATATAGCTGTTGAAGTTGGGTATCCAAAATGTTTTCAACATGGAATTTGACTGTTACCTAATACCTCATCGTTTCTACGCTTCGCGTATCCACGAGTTAAAAAGCCAGTACTGATGAGACTCATTATGCTTGAAACTCACATAGAGTTTTGGGTTTGGCCAATTAGCCTTTGTAGCGGCGATTTGGGGAGGGGAGGAGTAAAGGGATAAAGGGAGAAGCCCCCAAAAGCGCGACTACGTAGGATATTCGCCGAATCTCGGTGCTGACCAATAGGAACGTGGGCTCTGGGTACGACATTGGTAATATGGCTCACGAGCGAGGGCAGCGAACGAGTAAGATATTCTCAACACGGGAATATAAAGTGCTTACCAATGGCGTAGAAGATTCTTATTAATCGAGAAAGATAGATATTTCATCGATGATTATATATTAATTTGATTTTATAAATTATTTTTCAAGATATCCAACAGTGCAATGCTCCCCTTATTCACAATCAATCATCCAATGAGTGCTTTGCACCTTGCAATTGGACCACGATGTCACCGCTGACCTACAAAACATACTACGGGCTCATGGCAGTTGGGCTGTGGTTTGCTGTATTTGCTACCATCTTCATCATGTTCACTTGGTCGAGGATTCAATCTCTGTAAGTTCTTACGGCAGTATTGCGATCTCTGAGACTCAAGGTTCGACTCATGAAATGAGAAAACATTACTCCTAAGTTAGAAAGGTCTACTGGGAAAAAATGTATTGCAAAACTTGAAGTCCCTCAGCTTCTTGCAGGGTCCCAAAATGAAAATCAAGGTTCAGGGTTCCCCTATTTTCTTAATATTTTCTTTCCCTTCAATAAATAAACTAATAGATATAATGTGCATCGAACTATATAGTTGAATAATAATGTTGTTTATTATATAATTACCAATGAAATATCTATTTTTCTCTATTTCGAAAAATTGATATCTTCACACGTGAAAATAACATGTTATTTTCACGTGTGAAAATAACACCATTGCGATGGCTATTCAAAAATACACGGGAAGAATTGCCTGAAAAAGCCAAAACATACTTCATTGATAATTATATAATAAACAGAATATTACATGGGCGCTTGGAGATACGAAATTTATCTTCTCGTGTTGAAAATCTCTCACTCGTTCGCTGCGCTCACTTGTGAGAGATCTTTTCAACACTCGAAGATAAATTTCGTATCTCCGCGCGCCCATGTAATATCCTCTATATATTTGATCCTTTTCTTCAGACGTAAATTTCCTCATGTCGTTCGCTTCTACATCGTCATTTGCTGCATCCTTCTTTGTAAGTATGGCTGTAACAGCGAATTATCAATACGCATCGTCTATTTTAACTGAGCTGATTGGAACATGGTTAATTAACAAAAGTGTTCAACACCTTTCAGTATCTCATTTCACTCGTCAAATAACCAACTATAGTTGTGATTTTCTTATTTAGCTTGTTGTAAAATGCTCCCTCTTCGCATTGGACTGAACAAAGTGTTTTGTGGCGAAGCAAAGCAATGGTCTCATGTAGGTCAATCATCCCTTACCATCACGATACAAGGTACGTCATTAAAGTGGATCATATTTTTGTCATAACTGATCAGTAAAACTGCTTCCGTTCGAGCCATGGTGAGTTCACTCAGGTTGGGCCAGGAATCATTACTCTAAGTCGCTGTTTTTCCCTTTTAAAATGATGTATCATTCCCTTGAGTATTATTTCCTTGTTTTATGGATGAGACTGAACTGAACAAAATACAGTACTGTATGCAGCTTGATTAATTTGCCTGCTTAGCATTTTCAAGTTTTTACTTGATCCAGTTATGAAAGAGGGTGCGCGCGTTCACAAATCGTTCCCTTTCTGGTAACCCAGCGATAACAGTTAATGTTAGTTGAACATAATAAATTGATGTTTGAACATAATAAAGAAAAGACATTGACCAGAAATATATAACGGTACAATCAGTTTGTTCAAAGCTATTGTCCATCTATATTTTTGTATGTTATTGTAGCGAATGCGTGATGGCTCTTTTAGTAAGCACATAGCTGGGGATTACTTGTGAGCTCACACTGAGCTGCTTATTCATTTTGTTTTAGGAGCTTCCTCCCACTACTTCACTCTAGCCCTTTGTTTTTGGTCCATGTGTTTTATTACCAACACATACCTCGTGGTTGTCAAGGGTAACAGACTGCTTTTCGAGAGACCTATCCTCGTCCACATAATCCAGTCCTTGTTATGTTGGGTGTTGCCCGCTATCATTGTGGCCAGCTGTATATATTCCAAGTATCCTAACCCAGCATACAAGATGTTTTTTGTTGACTTCATGACGGCTGGTCCTACTGGAGATGTGTTGACGTACCTGTCCGTAACTCTACCTATGCAGATTACCTTGAGTATATCATTGTGTCTTTTATGGTCCGTCACGTGGTGCATTCGAAGGGTAAGCGTCAAATGTAACGTGGGTTTAGAGGGGGGAGTTTTCTGTCTGTCAATTACGTATGTTAAGGACGCGACTAATGCCAGTAATAACCAACAATACAAGGACACTCCGTTTCGTCGCTCACATGATTTTGATAAAGTTAGAAAATGAGAGGGGCGCATTACAAGGAAACAGCTATGAGTGAATATCCATGGTATATTCATGAAAAACAAAGTCAGCACTCTCTTGATTGGCCGTATAACCCATAGGGGCCTTAGAGAGTTTAAGTGATTTCGTTTCGTGAAGTCAAATATAAGAAGTCAATAAGTTAAACAAAACATTCTTCAGAATAAGTGGAAAAGAATCGAAAAAAATCTCCAAATGGTAGATATAAGTAAATGAATACTTTTCTTTAATGAGAAGGCTTGCAAAAGGTAGAGTCAACAAAATACAGGAAAACGATGAATATGTTGTTCTTTCTGCCGTTTTTAGGAACGGAGAAAAAACTTGATGTTTGGCTTGTCTTCTAATAAACCAAACACTCCTAGTGATTTTAAACGGCCAAGCAGCTCTAAGTACCCTTAAAAGCTGTGTGTCAAGTCCTCCAATATATACGCTGTAAATATAACCTGATTCAGTTTTGCTGCGCCAAACTCACAAAAGTCTGTCACCTTTAGTTTCCCACTACCTGATGCACGCTTGAATATATTATGAGATTTACTATAGGATTTTCTTTTCTGTTATAGTCTCGATTAGACCATACCCGAAACGCGATCAGACCAGACAAAGAAACCCAGTCTATGCTTCGGATCGAGCGTCAGTTCACGAGTATGAAGGTGATGATCCTGCTAGTGGTGGGTGTGGTCTTGTCCATTACGACTACGCAAGAGTATCGACTAGAGGAACTTGTTTATATGGCGAAGAAGTACTTCGACTGCCTACAGGTAAGACTCAGTGATGGTGACGGAACAATGGGTGTGGAGTCTTGCCGGATGTTGAAGAGTCAATGCGTCGTTTTATTAAATTCTCTTTCATAGCGAGAGGTTATTGGCCGAAAGTGAAGTCTGGATAGAGGAATACTGGTCGAGTTTTTCCATAGAACCTTTACTTTGCGTGAACGTTTTCCCATTCCAAAGCTCTGAAAAATAAGCCGATTATTTATTCCAGTTTTATATATACTAGACTACCGAACTTACTGACAAACAAGAAAATAATACTCAAGGAAATGACAGATGTATGTTTAATGTGAGAAAACATTACGCCCAAAGAAAAATTAAATGATGCTCAAAAAGACAAGACCCACGTAAGGCATAAATAACAAACGCGCCAAAAAACGAAAAAAATATCGTATTATTCTGATGCATTTGTAAGGGATGACGCAAGCGTGTTTGATACCCTCATCAAACATGGTTTTCGACCAATCGTAGCGCGCGTACTATCCCAATTATTTCATAAAATATAACCGACTGCAGATCCAATCTGCAACTACGTTAAAATTTTCAGTCAGCAAAGACCGTGTTGGTTTGAGTGTAAGTGATGTTTTCTCATTTTCGACCACGAGTCATTGCCTTGAGTATTAATCAATACTGAACAATTTCTTGATTTCACTAGACGTCAATCCCTGTATCGTGAGTTTATTAACGTTATCTGGATCACAAGTCAAATAGAAATTTTACATTTTGTTTCCTTTTAGTACTCCAAAGACTGCCAAGAGCCCAACCTGTTGACACCACTATACGCCATCATCATCCTAGTCCCAGGCTTCCTCTGCATCATCTTTTTCTTTCTCTTGTTCATGAATAAAGATTGTCGAGAGATTTGGGTATCCTGTTTCCAGAAAATAGCTCGTATATCCAACATCACCAAGCCACGTTCAGATACCACTAAATCAAGGTGTTCGTCTACTCTCACTTTCTTGAATGACAGACAATTATCTGATGTTACTTTTCGCCGAAATAACTCAATGCTTCGTACTAAACTACGAACGTCGTCAACGCCAAATATAATGACTGTTGCTTTGGAGAAACCATCACCATTAGAGCTCCAAAAAAGAACTTATTTATCTCCTTTAGCTTTAGAGAACAACCGACCGAGAAGTTCATCCACTCCTTTGAGATTTATGCTCGGAGATGAGGACACGGGTTCTGAGCAGGATCTTGCACGTGTTACGTCGCTACCCGGGACTGCCACGATGGGTTATCAACAGACGCCATCTTATTTCAACATCGAGATAAAAATCATAAGTGACGCTAAAACGAGTGCAGGAGTAGAGGAATACAAACCAAAAGATAGTGATGGTAGTGGTCAAGGGAGTGAAATCCTACAAGGTTTAGGTTTAATCCCTAGGTGCGTCCCAGAACTTGATCAGAGAAACTGTAAAACTAGCGATAACTTTGTCTATCCTATAGATGAAACTATGAACCATAAAAAATTCCTAGGAGTCTGTAGCACAAAACTGTAACCATCTCCGCAGGATTCCTTAGTGAAAGACAGACAAAGACTGCTCGTGCCTTTGGCACCGAGTCGGTAGCAGGGGCGGATCCAGGAATCAAAGAAAGAGTGGGCCGAAAAACTTCACCCTGATGAGAAAACCATCAAGACCGTATGCAAAAACAATGCCTCATCGGCCCACCCCTAAACCCGCCCCTGGGGGGTACTAGTGCAAAAGATTGCTATCCCGTTCTCCGAAGTCGACGCCTCATCAAATTCTCTCCGCGTTAATTGATAGATGGCTTCTATTTGTCAAGCTACTGTACCCTTGTGGCTTGCACCAATATCTATTTCTTCTCATTTGCATTCACTGATAACTAACCTTGTAATCAAAATGGCGCCGGACTGATTCCGAAAAGGACCGAGGTTACCATTCAAGCTCTTAATTGTGTGCTTGGTCAAGTGAGACACCTTATGGCTGGTTCTCTGAAATTTTCAAAAAAATATGGAATGGGTACAAATCTGAGCAAATTGTTTGATGTCAGTATGCTGAAGACACAACTACCATGACAAGAGACCCAAGAAACGAGGTTTTGCATGGGAGCGTTATAGAAAGGGTTAGGGAAGAAAAGCAACAGGAAATGTTCGATAATTGTGCGAAAAGGAAGCGAAATAAGCGATAAAATGCGGGAGAAACCTAAGTGTTTGCCCCTTACATCGACACGAAAGAAAAAAGGTGTGCGCATGCTCTGAATCCGTATGCAAATTAGTCCGAAACATATCTAAATTTGACAAAAGTATACAACAGTATGCTCGCGATTTTTTTTTGTATTCTTCTTGGAGAAAACGAACATTTTCTCACTCAAACTCTTCAAAATTCGTGCTGAAATGCACGCATGCACAAACGTTTTTCTCTAGTGTCCCTCACATCACAAGTTTCCTCTAACAGGCCAGGAAGGCCAGAATTTTCACCAAAATCGTGAAAGAAATTGAAAGGATTAATAACTTATCCATTTATACCCTGCGCACAGCCCTAATGTCATTCTGGTTAACACCAGTGTATAGTCGGGGCTGCAGGCAGGCTAAACAATGCATCCCCCAACCCCTGACCGGCAAAAATAATTGGACTCTAAACTATACAACTTCAGTCTTCAGGGTTTACTACCTTTCTGTTTAGAACTAATAAGAAATTGAAAAGAATCATTTCATTAAAATTAATGTCCATAATCATAACCCAAGCCATTCCAGCCCCTCCAATAAATGAAGAATGCAGATATAAGGGACCGTTCATTATTTAACTGGGGGAGGCTGGGTGAGAAATTGGAAAAGGCGCCCATTTTTTTAGGGGTCCCCCAACAAATAAAGTGATTTTTTTCCAGACCCCTCTTCACTATCTTTAGACCTTCACCTGAAATTTCAAGTCCCCTCCCTTAAATCCATAAAAAAATTCCAGGGCCCCTTACACTACCTCCTTTTCTACATGAAAAATTTTCGAGGCCCCTCCTTTTCTCACCCAGCCCCCTCCCCCAGATAAATAATGAACGATCCCTAAAATATATTTCCATTCGTTGGGGTTCTATTCAGAACTAATAAAAATAATTTATGTAACAACGACAATAGTGAGTCATACGGCTATTAGAATAATTTACGTGACGAGGAGTTTTGTTACAAAATTCCTAACTTGTTAGTAATGGTGTTTCTAAACGAATTATAATTTGAAATTCAAGTGCATTTCAGAAATAAGTAAGTAAAAGAATAGAGTGTTTATTTTTAACTTTGTACTGATCTAGTGTTTTGTGTATGTTATATATCTGTGAAAAAGATAACTTAAAAAATGGTCCAAATTAGTGTAAAGTTTTGGAGGTCTACGGTCTACTGAGGACTATTGAACTGACTAATTTGTGCAAACTTGTGCAATTTCTTACGAGGATTTTCACGAATACTGATATGGTATGCACTCTTCAGTTTTTCTTGAAAAAAATAGCTTGACTAAACATAATTTATCTCGTATATCTCTCTAAAAACCTTTTTGTCGTATGAGCAGAAATGAAAGGGAGCGAAGGAATGAACGAATAGAGGGATGATGGGATAAAGAATGTTACTGAAGTACAGAGTATGCGCTGTGCTATTATGTTATGACTAGATAAAAACTGAAAGATATTGTCCGTTAGTCTAATCCATAGTGATCTATCATCAATGCTGCGTTCTGATTGGATGAGCTACTACTAGGGTATATACGTTATATCCTACTATTAGCGGAAAGTGCCGGCTTCGAAAGCCAAAAAATTGAATTTAACATTAATATATAACTTGCTTGCATCTATATATTTGACCATCAAAATCCTCTCGACCTCATCTCCTAAGATTCAATGGTCTCGAGGGCTAACAATACTTGTCTTTCGCTATAGATACATGTACACGTGATCAGTTTCTCTTCAATAATATGCCCTCAAGGCCTTGGAAGCGTCCTCTATTAAGGATCTTATAGCTACCTGTCAACGTCTAATAAAAATAGCTTTTTCGTCAATCGAGTTTCTATAAGGATTTTATTTTTATGGAAACGTGATTATTCGATTCCAACAACGCGTGCGAAAAATCGGTCAAAGGTCCTAAAGGTCGCATCTGATTGGTTAATCGAGCGCGTCATGTGGTTCTATTTATGAGTCGTGTGTCGTCATCGGCATATGAAATAGATTTCGAGTGCGGGAAACATATTAGACCGTGAAATAGCTACCGATCAAACATTCTTAGAGTTTAAATATGGTCCAATGAAAACCGTTATCTCCAGTTAAAGGAATGAATGATCCAGGAAAAACGAAAATCAAGGCTATATTCGTTGGTGATAGCGAGTGTGGAAAAACAGCTCTTTTGAGCGTCTTTGTGAAGAACGTCTTCCCTGAGGTAAGCCACGTTTGATTGAGAAATACGCTCACGTTTGTTTGTTTTGGTCCTTTGAATTTTTCTGGCTATAAATTCAAGTTAATCTTATGACCATAGATTCCTTGGATAAGTTCTATTTACTGTGAATTATTTACTGCTCTTCTTTATCCCAGTTTATTTTTGTTTCTCCGGTTCATTGGGTTGTTTTACTCTCGTCCAAATACATTCTCTGTTTAGCGTTTCATGGTGTTTGTTTACAGGTCTACGAAGCTACTGTTTTCAACAGCTTGTCCTCTGAAGTAGAGGTCGAGGAAGAGAGAATTGAACTTTCATTGTGGGATACGTCAGGTTAGAAGAGTTTTAGATAACAATTTGAATACATCTAGGGTGCTAATGTGGTTTAGAAGAGTCTTTCCAAGCATTCGTCTTTTGTTTTCAAAACCACCTTCGGTAATTCCTTTTGTTTTCTTGTTTCCACGATTGTCTAAACAATGGTTCTTAGGCAGGGGCTTAGAGAGTTCTTCTTGATTAATTTCTAAATCCGGAAACATTAAAGCTAGAGTGTGCAAAACTAATCTATGAGTACGTGTGCATTTTATTTATTTGTTCATTCTACTGACTTCAGCAAACTTAGACATTTAGACTCCTGGTTCAAGCCATGATACGTTTGCGACATTAGACTTTAGCATATAGTAACAACTGTATTGTATCCATTATTTATATTTAGTATATATCATAGTTGTGGTACAGTGCAGTAATAGGCTTAATTTTAGTTGTTAAAAATATATATATATATAATGTCATATAATTTATATGGATGTTTGATCTTTTTTTTCCAGGTCAGCCTGAGTTTGACCATGTTCGACCACTCTCTTACAAGGGCAGTGATGTAGTTATGATATGCTTTGATATCAGCAGGCCAGAAACCTTGGAAAGTGTTTCTACAAAGGTATATAATTATTATGCCTACCACCCCTCCCCTCAGAAAAATCATGTTTTTACCCTGTTCTAGTAAAGTTAATCACCAAAACCCTACAAAGCTGAGACCACTGCTCAGGGGTAATATTCCATTTGGAATGAAGGTCAACAAGTTAAGCTTTTCATACAAAGTGCAGCTTGATGATACCACCCACAGAGTAAATTGGAAATTATAGAGTGGAGGGTCAGAGAAAGAACAAGATTACAGAGTTTTTTTGAAAGAAATTTGAAAGGGGTCCTAGCTTTACAAATTACCTCCGTGGTGGGGTATGAATATTTTCTAGAACTATACATTTTTATAAATTATATAAACTCAATAATATACCAAATATTTAATGACAAACTAGCTATATTACCTTATTTCTTCCAGTGGACCACAGAAGCAAAGGAGATGTGTGTTGACAAGCCTATAGTTCTTGTAGGCTGTAAAACTGATTTACGGAGTGACATTTGTGTTGTCTCAGAACTTGCCAAGAGTAGAAGAATACCTGTCACCTACCAACAAGTAATAAAACTTTTTTTTAATATTCTTGTTTTAATTTATGTATACGTTATTTTTCAAGTTTAATTATTATCCTACCCCATAGTGGACTCAAGAACGACAATAGGAAGATTTCAGTCTATGTAATTCATAATTTCAATATCAGACAAGTAAAGAAATTAGCATGTCAAATATTTTGTCATTACCATATGCTATTATGTACATAGGAGGTAAAGGGGGGGGAGGGGAGGGTGCTGCTTGAGAAGGCTGTTACCCTTCTCCTTTCCCTAAAATATTTTTGGTTGCCAAGAATATTTTACAATTGATGGTCTAACAATGATTCAAAGTCCAGTCATCCTACTAAACCCTTAAATAATATGGTTACTTATATATACACCGAGTTTTTAATTATTGTCATTGTCTAATTCATGATAAATTTTCTTTTTTCATTTATTTAGGGATGTGAGATGGCCAAACTCATTGATTCTGTACTTTACTTGGAATGCTCATCAAAAACGAAGGATAAACACTTGATAGATGTCTTTGAAGTATGCACATTAACTGCTCTAGGCAAAACAATACATAAAAAGAGATATAAGCCCAAGATGACACATGATAAATCCTGCCAGAAGAAATCAAGAAGATGTATTATTTCATAGCTAGATTATTTTGTTTTTAATTAGATATTTATCAATTTTAATAATTGTAAATGAAATTTATAGTAAAAGTCTGAGTTAAACGCTGAGTTATATATTTGTCAGTATTTATTTTCTTAATGAAAATAGTTAGCGATTGTTAGAAACAATTTTTGGACTTCTTGAGTGGTTTTACTTATTAACCCATGAAATAGCATGTCTAATTAATTAAGCAATAGAAAACAATCAAATTAGCTTAAATTAGCTTGCATACTTTAATTAATTAGTGTTTGAACTCTATCAGTGGCCCGTGAAACAAAGTTGTTTAGAGTGAAGGCATTTAACCCGTGATAGATATTAGACTAATACACAATGGTAGACCTTAATTCCATTGTTTTCTTTTGTGTCTATTTGACTATTACACGTTGACTAGTATTTTTTATTTCACGGGTTAAATAAATGCCTTCCCTCTAAATGACCCCTTTACTTTTCTCTGCATCATCTTGAAAGGTATTAGTGCTTGTACATTGAAAAAAGAATTCTGGTGACCTTAACTTGCACTGAGTGATAGGGACCTTTTTTAGCACCTTGGACAATTACTGGCAATTATTTATTATTCAATCTTGCTTTGATACACAGACACAGTTACCTTTCAAGATGGTGCAGGGAACTGGGGACTATATATAAGTGATAGCCAAAAGAAAACAATGTAAATATTTGGTATAGTGCTATACTAGTACAAATGCTAGCTATTTTTATCATGGGCCAAGCCAAAGTCACTATTTTGAAGGTCATGTGTTTATGAAGTTTAAACCTTAATGCAGTACTAGCTTTCTTGCTGCAGAAAGAGTTCTGAATCATTTTTGCTTAAAATTAAGATTTGTCATTTGATTTGATCAAACCTCATGTCTAGACCTTTGGGTGTTGAATGTTTTCCTGTTTTCCCTTAGATATAATTTCTTTTTTATGCATTGAAAAGTTTAATAAATAAATAAGGATAAAATCATAATTTTTGATAAAGACCATCCTTGTCGTCTTATGCACAGCCATTAAACAAAGAAATAAAACTCTAGGGAATGATATGTGGTCTGAAATGGGAAAACACTTAGACTAGCTGCATTATATCATGTACACCCTTTTCCTGCCTACTACCCACACTGTATAAACTCACTTGCTTCTCTATTCCATTCCAAAGTGTATAATCTTCAAGGTATTTAAAACACATTATCACTGTATTAATCAGATGTTTTTGACTCGAGTTCTGCTGTACATGTTGTGCTGTTGTTTTATAAGAATATTTGAATTAGGTGACGTGGAGTTCCTGTGGTGGATACATACTGCAAGGGATCATGGTTAGTATTTCGTTCTGGACGTTCAAAGCCGGTGTTGTCTCGTGTCTTCTGTATTAAACTTGATTTGAATCAAAAAATTACAATTTCTTTTACGATTTGAGGTCCTAAATTGAAAGACAAAGACGAAAATGTCTGAAGATTGTTCTATTCAGAGTAAGACTTGTTCTGCAAACACCAACCACGTGGATAATACATCAGACAGTAACACGACTGTATCACACAAGAGACAAGAAGGGAAACAACAAGACAAGAAGTTGGCAGCCGGTGTTGCTCATATAAAAAAACAGTAAGGGAATCCTTTTTTAATATATATTTAAGTGTTCTTAGGCTAAAAGTATTTATATAATTTGAGATATAGTAGAGCTTGAGTGTACAAGAAATCCCAACAATACCCCCCCACCCCCCACCCCCTCTCCCAGACACATACACCAACCCCCTACTCTCTGTCCCCAACACGGGGTCAGGCAGGCAGAATTGCAAAGTGGCTGTGCATTGCCTGAAATATTGATGCTTTTATAATGTATATATCCTCATACAGTTCTACGTGTATGCAACCTTAGGCTCAGGCTTTTACACTACATGTACATGTACATGTATTAGCTAGGGTATCTAAAGCCAAAGCTAAAGCTACAATATGGTGAGACACATGTGTGAGGTCATGGGAGACTCTTGCTTTGGTGGCAGTGTATTTATAACTGGTGCAGCTTGCCCTTTACCCTTAGATGGAAAATGGATTTGGATAAAGGAATGTTAGTTGGAGCCATATTCGTGGATTTTAGGAAGGCTTTCGATAGTATTTCACATAATATTCTATCACTCAAGCTTCAGGCTGTGGGATTAAYTGGTAATCTTCATGAATGGCTGATGCATTATTTGAAAGATAGATATCAGTGTACAGTTATAAATGGCTGTACTTCTGATTTGGAAACAGTCCAATATGGAGTTCCCCAAGGATCACTCCTTGGTCCAAGATTATATACCATCTACGTCAACGACCTACCTGATGCTATTACACTTGGGAACGTCTATATGTATGCAGATGATACTACTATATACTGCGTGGGGAAGACCTTTGACCAAGTCTGTTTGCAATTAAACAAAATACTTGAACAATTACAACTCTGGAGTATAAATAACAGACTTAGTATCCATCCTATCAAGTCTGAAGTCATGATCCTCAGCAAAACTCACTTCACTGGCCCAGCTCCACCAATTTATCTTGGAAATAAATATATCAATATTGTGGATCATACTACTTGTTTGGGCTTAGTGATTGATAATAGACTGACATGGTCAATGCATGTAGACCATGTGAAGAAAWCTTTCACACAGAAGGTTGGGGCATTGAGAAGAATGAAGAAGCTTCCTGTAAAAGTATTAGAAGAGATCTATTTTAAAACCATTATTCCAGCAGTAACCTATGGTATAGTGGTGTGGGGTAATTGCAGTTCTGCAGTTATGGAGACCTTAGATCCCATTCATGCAAGAGCAGCACGAATCATTCATCACCAAGAAAACCTTCAAAAACTAAACTGGTTACCAATCTCTTACATCTACAAAAGATGCCTTCTCCTTTTAATGCATGATGTTCTTCAAGATAAAGTTCCATACTCCATGAAGTCCCTCTTCAAAGTAAAGACAAAAGCAAAATCCTCCCGTAGGGGAAACCAAGTTGAAATCCCARGAGTAAAACATGAAGTTGGAAAAGGGACAATTCAATATAGAGGCCCAGTTATTTGGAACTTTATGAACAGAATTGTTAATTTGGAATCAAGTGTTAGTAAGGATAATTTTAAACAAATTATACGTAAATTTTCTAAAGACATTAATAATTTTTCATTCAGRGCTTCTTTAATAGCGAAAAAAGATGATGATTTTCTATATTTTTAGTCTTTTAGAAATTTTAGAAATTTAAGTATTTAGTATTTATTTATTTATTGAATTTCCATTTATTATCTATTGAATAATTATAACGAATATAAGTTTAATTGATTTTCTATATTTTTGTTTTTTATTTTTTAGATATTTCTATTTAGTTATTTATAGATTATTGTAATTAGTTAGACAGCAGGTCCACATCAGCCTGTGGCTGCGTAGTTTAGTTAACCTGCTTAACAAATAAAAGTATGTGTGTATGTATGAATATGAAGGACTTCATAAATATCTACTCTACAGCATGACATAATTTAAATAATGGTAGAAAATGTAATATAAATCTAACAATAATTGCTACCTATCTGATAATTCTAGGTTTCTAATCTCCAAAGCAGAATATATCTCTAAGTACAGCAAAGGTAAGGATCTACCTGTACAGAACAACAATCAGGACAAAAATGATCAAGAAAATAAACAAGAAATGGTTACAGAGGAGGAAGATCCAAACAACCAAGAGTCAGAAGAACCTCCCAGCAAGAGAAAAAAGGGTAAACAAAGAGGGATGAATAAGAAACGCCCACGCCAACCAAGACCAGATCGCAGTACTAAGCTCTGTTCATTCATTGCCAATGGAGAGGAATGTGCTCGTGGAGAACAGTGCCACTTTGGACATTCTATCCAAAAATACCTTGAAAACAAGCCACCTGACATTGGAGAAAACTGCATTGTGTTTGAAAGGTTTGGAAAATGCAACTTTGGTATCAATTGCAGGTTTAGTAAAAACCATATTGATGAAGAATATAAAAACATTGTTAACGAAGAACTGTTTGCAAATAAAAAACATTTGAGGACAAAAGATACACTTTACAAGGACCTTCAAATATCTTTGAGGAAAAAGAAGTATTCTTTTCCAAGGTCAGATCAGTATTTAGCTTCATTAAAGCAGAAATCAAAGGCAGAACCAAGTAATATAAGTGTTGTGGATGAAGGTGAAATCAGGTTGAGGCCTTGTGAAAAGAAAAAGGTAAGTCTTATTGCACTGTTTTCATTGCTATGCACTGATTAAGCCCTCGTTTGAATTCCATGATTGAAATGGACTTTATAGGAGTTGATTTTTGTAGAGGAAGGAAAACCAGAGAACTTGGAGAAAAACCCTTGAAGCACAGGAGAGAACATTATACAACTCTACTCACATACACTGAGCCCAGCAGGACTCGAATACAGTTGCATTGGAGAAAAGCAAGTGCCCTAACTGCTATGCCACTGTTGCTTCCCAGAATTAGGGATGAAAATTGGGATAAAAAAATACATATAAAGTATTAAAATATCTTGATGGCATAATGTTATATACTACCATTTATATTAGAATCTCTTGTGTACAATTATGAATTCATAGAATCTGCTGTACATATCCAGGCCCTTTTTACTCTGATTGATTAAAAAAATCATTATGGGGTGTTACAAATAATACAAAAGTCACCTAAGATAACAAGAATGTTGCTTTTTTTGAATTTGCTGTAATGGGTGCACAGATAAGGATGTAAATTGTTTTAGTTGGTTATTTAATTAATTACAGACCAAAACTCCATGGTATTAGTGAACAGGCTACAGGGGGAAGGATGGGAGATTAGGGCTTCTTCCCATTTCCTTTTCCACTTTATTCAATCTAATAATGAAAAGTGATAAAACCCATATTTGTTGGAATTGGTTGGCATATTAACGATACAATGCTATTGTTTACTGTATAAACATTGCATCATTCTCCTTATAATCCAATCATAATCCTTCACTTTTTATCATAGATCGATTTCTCGGACAAGCTATTCCTGGCTCCTCTCACTACTGTAAGTAATTAGCCTTCTGTCAGATGAGTTTTGATTTAGGAGGTTTATGAATAATAATGGTGCCATATAGACTTTGAATATCTTTATCTATCATTCATTATTTTGTACTACGGACGTCATTGAACTGCCGAACTGAGACAAAAAACATGCCACGGTCACACCTCCAAACGTCTACGATTCCACACACAAACATCAAGTATTTAGCATTGCATTCCTTTCTTCACGTGTCAGCATCCTTTGATAATTTTATTTCCCACAAGATGAATGTTTTTGTTTGGAATCGTAGACGTTTGGAGGTGTATAAATCAAGGCATGTTTTTTGACTCAGTTCTGCAGTTGGCTGACATCCATAGTATATATTGTTTCTTTTCAGGTAGGCAATCTTCCATATCGAAGGATATGTAAACAGTATGGGGCTGATATAACATGCAGTGAAATGGCAATGTGTACAACTTTACTCCAGGTACTTTTAAGAATTTGTGTTTTTTTTGTCTTGGAAATCTTTGAATTCATAGTGTGAATATTTCATGTTAGTGAACGATTGCAAAATGCTTATGAATATAACTTAACGATTGAATAAATAGATAAGATCTTCGTAGTAGGAAAGAAAACTTGAGAGCCCAGGAAAAATATTATATGCTTTAATCATGAAAATGGACATGAAATGAGCCTTCTGTCATGTGACACTGAGTTTGGGATCTTTTAATTATCTGTTAAATTTATGCTTTTATGTTGGTTAATAGACAGAGATGGAAACGGAATTGAGGATGATTGAGAAAGTTGATAGTAGGTAGATAGATACAATAAGTAGGTGAGTGAGTGGGTGGTGTAACTGATATATGTAGGTTACTTACATGAGGACAGGAACAGATGTGTGCATGGATCCTATCGAGATAGATTGATAGCAGTGGAAATGAGATAAATGGATGGCTGCATAAATGCCTGATGGATTAATTGGGTTAACTAAATAAATAAGTACACAATTTCCAAATTTTCTTACTATTGTTCTCAATAGGGGCAACAATCTGAATGGGCATTACTAAAACGTCATCATACTGAAGATATTTTTGGAGTTCAGGTTTGTTTATGATCATAATTCAAAATTATTTTAAATTTGTTTTCCAGTGTTTAATATCTTATGTATGCTTTCAGGTCTGTGGATCATTTCCGGACACAATGACCAAATGTGCCGAGCTTTTACAAAAGGAAGTGTCTTTAGACTTTGTGGATATCAACACAGGATGCCCTATCGATTTGGTCTTTTCAAAGGTACAGATATATCAACATGTATCCTACTGGTCAAGATATTGAGAGAGAGAAATTTGCACATGCTTGTAGTTTGGAATGAATTAGGCAGAACCATCTTAAATGTGCTACAATTGCAGAACTATGCAAATTCAGGAAGCAAATACAAATAAAAAGAATTAAAATAAAGTCATACTCTGTTATATATTATATATAATTTCAGGGGGCTGGATGCGCACTGATGGAAAGAAAAGGAAAATTTCAGGAAATTGTAAAGGGAATGGTAGAAGTAAGTGCAAATATATATATAATTTTGAAATGTTTGACATGACTAAAATGCTTCTTGGGGGCCTCAGAAGGCTCATTTGCTGGACTTAATTTGTATGATTGTGTGACATTATTGCATCTCAGGGTTTTTGGGTCTTTTATTTCTTAATTTGAAGGCCGATTCTCTTAATCTGTTACACTGACTGCACTTCAGTCTGATCTTGCTGGTCATTGTGTCTGGCCATTTTGGAGCCATTATATTTGCCCTTACTTAGATCAACCCAGAGGTTGTTTGGGGGGACAAGAAAATTGATGTCTGAGTTGATTTTATATGCTCCACTTATTGCTAACATGCACTCAAATTTGCCAAAATCCTACAATCAGGCTTACTAAGAACATGGCCAGCAAACAAACATTTTGAACACTTTTTTCCAACTATTTGACAGATGTTGCTGTTTTTGCCCCTTGAATAAAGCATAGTTTATCCATAACATATTATTATGTCATATGTAGGTTTTAGACATCCCTGTTACAGTGAAGATGAGAGCTGGAGTGCATGATGACAAGAAGACCTGGAATGCACATAAACTAGTCAGTAATGTCAGTAGCTGGGGAGCCTCTTTAATCACTGTAAGTAGGTAATGCAAAGAAGGAAAGGTGTTATGTGGCTTAAGCTAGGTTTACATGGATGTGGTGTCACGCTATAAGAAAATGTATGGAGAAACTTGAAAACCTGATACTCAAAACCTCAATAAAATAAAGTAAAGAAGTCTTAGCTGTAGCTTGAAAAGTTGTACCTTTTTGCCCTGTGTACTTGAATTTTGGATTTGATCAGTTTTAACGTTTTTTTTTCCTCCACTCTAAAGTCTGAGTACACAGGACAAAAGAGGTACAACTTTTCAAAGGTACAACACAGAAAACCTGAAAAACTTGAATAACTTCTAAAATGAAACATTATGTCAAATATGTAAATGAGTTCAAGTCTTTTATATTACATATCTGTACTGTTAAATAAGTTCTTGAAGAGCTTTATAGTGGCCTATGAGACATTTAGCTAGACAAGTGCAAATGTTTGCCAGCTATTGTTTGTTGACCAGTTGTTTTATCCCCAGGTTAAGGGGGGTCTTTAAACTGTTAGTGACAAATGGCTCATTTTCAACAAGCAATGCATTTACATTTGATGTGCTTCATTAGGTACATGGAAGGTCAAGAGAACAGCGTTACACCAAGAGTGCTGATTGGCAATATATATCAGCTTGTGCTGAGGCTGCTGCACCAGTACCACTTTTTGGTAAGACACATGTCAGATATTAAAAAAGTCAGGGGCAGATCTAGAACAGCCAAAACCATAATCCACCTCCATCCCCCCCCC